ATTGTGCTACCAGCATCTTATTCATGTGGTTTGAGGCTTTTTTTTAATGTCCATACCTACCCCTACCCGTCCATACCTACTCTTACCCTAAACTTACCCTTAAAACAATGCAAATATATTTTTGGTAGCACAATCTGATAGGTAGCATGTTTCGTCGGTACACCGGCTTTACTGACAAGATGCGCATGAAAATCTCATTCGATTATTTGCACAGCCCTAAGCTCACCATAATCAACTAAACTTTGTGCTTTTGTAAAATAAAGAAAATAAACAGGGTGCGCTCTCAGTCTTCACGGTCTCCGCAAACTGCGCATCACTATAATTAACTGAAACTCAGCAAATACTTTACACACAGACATGAGAAATATATCTATAGAAAGCTTGAAATGTCTATTCTTAAATGAAGTAACTCTTACCAAAAACAAATATTCTGTGATAAAGTAATCTGTATGAAACCAATGACAGGTCCAGTTTTTCCGTTTTTCTAAGCTCATTATCTATCTATTAATTAGACCACGCCCACGGCTGTTCGCGCTATTGATATCACAAATCTCCACGTGAGACGCGTGACATTTAAATGCCTACATCACCGTAAACAACGCAGCAACATGTTCATCTCGGATACTTTTCATTTTTGGAAGAAGACGCTGAGAGGAATTAGCCTTGTATTTACCTCGGAAGAAGACACGCTGAGAGGAATAAGCCTAGTATTTACCTCAGAAGAAGACACTGAAAGGAATAAGCTTTATGTTTACCTCACAAACAGAATGCGAGCGTGGCTTGAGTCAACGGAGGAGATATTTTATGCCGAGTAAGTAACGTCTCTTACTGGCATTAGATAATGTGTTGTTGTGACATAAACTTGAACGCATTTACTAGTTGGACTCTTCCCAAACTATAATTCCTGACTAAAATGTGTGAAATCGAGTGCAACATTTTGAAATATGATAGGCAACCTTTCACTGCATCTAAATGTTGTATGGCGTAAGGATGGTTTTATGTTCTATAAACAATACGATATAAAAGTAATGTTTAGATGATATAAAAGTAATGTCTAAGAATGTTTAGACCAATCTTTACTGTGAAATATCTCAAACACGTTTAGGCCTATAATGTGCTTAACAAGAATAATTTAGTTTCTCAGATATATAATAATAATAATAAATGTTTTTGAGCAGCAAATCAGAATATTAGAATGATTTCTGATGGATCATGTGACACTGAAGACTGGAGTAATGATGCTAAAAATTCTGCTTTGAAATCACAGGAATAAATTACATTTTATAATATTAAAAAATAAAACATTTATTTCGAATTATAATACTATTCGATTATTTTGAATAGTAAAAATATTTCCAAATGTTACCGTTTTGCTGTACTTTGGATCAAATAAATGCAGGTTTGGTGACCAGAAGACACTTCTTTAAAATACATTACAAATCTTACTGTTTAAAAACTTTTGACTGGTAGTGTACATATATACTGTCACCATGTTTGCTCTGTCTTTGTCCGATCATTGTGTTGCTCACGTTCATTTGTTTTCTTGTGCAGTTTCTGCTGTCTCCTGTTTTCCTGCATTCCAGTTTCCTGCCAATGTTTTGGATAATTTGGATATTGCACCCAAGACGTCTTGACTCCTTTGTTTATTTGTTTGTTTGTTCCTAATAAACTCGCAAGTGAATCTCAAGTTATTTTGTGTGATAGTTTTATATATTATATAATATATTCTAAATAAAATACAAACAAAAAATATATAAATTTCTTTTGTCCTCACATTCTTTTTTGTAGCAATTCCCTCTCAGTCACATACCTGACTGAAAGGCTCATTATGCAGCTTATTATGTGGGCCTTTGTCTTCTCAGGTGTGAATCACACTATTATTCATGATCATTCACGCCTCCTCGCACACAGCTGTTCCATACAAAAAGTGACTTAGAAAATGAGTGAACAAGATGATTTTCACATCATTTTGAAGCAAAAACTCTAGGCTACAAGATCCAGTTCTCGAAAGTCTTGTGAACAAAATGTTCTGTATGTGGCCTTATATGGCCTTCTTCAAGTGATTTAAAAAAAATGTAGGTTTTCACGAACCACGCATAAACATTGCTTTCTCAAAAACACACTCATGTACATGCATGCTGCTCACATATTATTGTAGCCCAGTTTGTGCTGATTACAGTGTTATATAACTTTAGCCATTTATATGTTTATAAGCAACTGAAAAAGCACAAATGTCAGGGCATGTCAAAACTTCTCCAGGGCCCTAAAACACCCTCAGACCCCAGAGGGTTAATCACTGAATATCTTTTTAATTGGAAATACTTCTAGATATGGAAGGTAAAAAAAGTATGTGATTTAGTGCAGCTAAATCCGACAAATATTCTATTTCAATCAGCAATGCTTTACAATGTGGAAAAAAATATTTTAAATAGGCCTATTAAGTTTTAAAGATAATATATATA